ACTGGATGTAAAAGAAGTCCTCGGTTGATGGGGTGGCTGTTATTTGTGGTGGTGCTTGGAGTCCTGCTATGCAAAGGTTTGGGGATCATGTTGGGGAAGTCCTCCAAACGTGTCCGTATTGTCATAATGACCAGGTCCCTGATTTAGAGCACATCTTTTCAGGATGGGGCCCCCCAATTTTAAGTTGGTTTATAAACCATTATTAACTATAGTTATATCTACCATAAACCATAGTTAAGCCACTTATAAGGCAACTTAGCTATCTTGGGCACCACCCTGTTGGGTTTGTGATTCTTTTCGAAGTCGGTTTGTGGATCCCCCTGAAAGTCCAGGAAAAACCGTCGTTTGGCTTGGGATGCGATGTTAAGTGAAGCGCACTGTGTGCAGTTGGTAGAACAGATGGGTCCCTAACTTAGGACCATGTGTCCTGGCGAAGTCCTGAGACGTCGCACCGCAGTGTTGGGAAAGAGAGCCACTGGGCCACCAAAAAGTGAAACGAGAGCCGAGAGCCGAAGATGTCTTCAGAAGACAAGGTTCCAAGGTTCGCTTAAGTTGTTTGTTTAAACAGAGGTTGTGAAACTACCGCGGACCAAGGTTGTTGTTGTTGTTGTTGTTGTTGTTGGGTTGTTGGGTTGTTGGGTTGTTGGGCTGTTGCGCTATTCGCCCCAGGTTTCAGGTTCCTCAGGCCACCTTTTTTCGGAGGCCCCCGTGATCGGTGCGGCAGCGTTGCTTTGAGCCATAGCTCTGGCAGCCCCGTGTCAGAATTGGGGGTCAACAACGAAGCCATGTATCAGATGTATCATCAACACTATTTACAGATATTTATAGAATTTTATAGATGACTTTTCCCGATTTGACCCATGTTTTTTCCTATGTTTCACCATGTTTCACCAGCCAAAAAAAGCGCCAACCCATCACAGTCGAGGTGCCTGGGGAATCGTTTCACAAGACTCGGACTCAACGGGGCGGTCAAACACAAAGCCTGGCGAACTGCGGCTGGGTGGATGACATTTCTGATGGCCTAATCTGGAAATCTCTTGAAAATTCTTAAAATATGTTCATGAAATACAACTTTTGTTGGTTCTATATGTATATAAGAAATCAAGATGAAATAAAGTTGAGACGTGGGGTTGTTTTACAGATGTTTGATCTCTGTTTTTGTTTGACAGTCTTGTCGGCATGTTGTCAGTGAAAGCATCGAATGAGATTTCCTTGTTGTTTCTTGAGATTTCCCGGGACCCACAGAGTGCAAGTCAGGTTTCATGATTCCTTGAGCTGGTGCCAAGAGCAGTCAGCTTTGCTGATGAATATAGATAAACACAAAAATAAAAATGTGTCTGTGTAGCAATTATAATTCAATTGGCATCCCCTTGCTCAAATCTATTGAAGCCCATTTGGGGATAGTTTACCTACGTGACTTGTGTTTGATTACTATGCCCTGTTCATAATCCAACCATTAGATACTGACTTGGTTTGCATACACGACTTACATTATAAGTTAACACATATATACAAATTCGAATCTAACATAGATCTGGACAGAAACACCATTGTAGATTATTTTCTTATAGTTAAACACGCTTAAACCATGTTAAACCATAGGCTATGACCCACATCTATGTTAAACATATTAGTTTACCCTAAGGTCACACACACACACATATATATATAAATGTAATATATATATAGTAACACCAGTCGATTGCTCCGCATGTCTCCGGACGTCCAAACAGAAATCTCAACATGACCTCGCTGCCAGCTTCGCTCAATGAGCGGAGTCTCCCCTGGACAGGCCGTGGGACGTATTGAAAATGGCCCAGTCGAAATAGGCGATTTGCCCATTAAAAAATAGTGGATCTTTCCATAGTTATGTAATGTTGTGTAACTACGTTTACCAGAGGGTATACAGTAAACATGAACACATCCTGAGTTTACGGATTCATATGGATGGATCTGTTCTTGTACTCGAACATGGTAAACCATGTAAGTGTGGAAGTGCCGGAAGTTCGGATGATTGATAAAGATCATGGGAAGAAAAAAAAACGTAGTTCACAGCGGCATCATCCAACTCTGTAAACTGAGATCTGACAGAGTGGAGGACCACCTGTTACAGGCCATCATCCTCATCATCAACTCTAGTTCGATAAGATTGATGGTATGTAAATTGCTGGTACCTTATATATTGACATCTTAAGGTCTTACACTTACATTTACTGCTGTTTTAAATTTACGTCGTATATATCATTTACTAGCTCAGGCATGGGTCAAAATGAACCTGCTACTGGGCGGTTGTCATTTACTAGCTGGTAGTTGACGTGAATTACCCCGACAAAGATGGGCATGAAACCAACAAGTCACGCTTGGAATCGATGGGTATCTCACAATGTCCAAGAAACATTGGTCTTGAACATGCTTATTTGGTCATGAAAAAAAAAGAGTTGAAATTTAAGGTGATTTGGGGTAGTTCTACTGACTTCCGCCAAAACTTTCCCCATCTTGCCATCTCCTCTGGTGGAGACCTCCCAACTGGCTAACCATCGCACCGATCCCCTCTGGCGGCCCCGGAAAACCAATATCTTCAAGAGGTAAACACAGGTCAACCATCAACTTTATACAGTATACAATTGGTATATAGTTGTCCATTGCCATGTTAGGTTGAGGCTTTACTAGACGCAGTAAGTAGATAGCATTCATTGTCAAAAAGGGGCACCAGATAATCCTCCAAGTGTGTTGCCGCAACCACAACGGATGCATCAGCAGCCGCCGTTTTCCAGACGCGCACCGCATGCGACCTGGAAATCAAATCTGTCCAAGACCCAAGATGATGATTTTCAGGCAGGCAAAGGTCGCATGGCATTTCCAGGCACGTGGCAATTTCATTGGAAATAGATGGGATATATATCCACATTATAAAGAATGCACACAATACACCAATAGATAGATTAAATTAGTTTCTTTTGGACACCAACCAAACAATATCGATCAATCTTTTAGCTGCGCATTCATTTTTATATTTTTGCACCTCTGTTTTTGCCAAAAACATCAACTTTATCAATTTACAGACCTGCCAGCTTTGCCATGTTTCATCTGCCGAGCCAAATGGTTGGCTCCTCAGAGCCTGATGGCTGACTGCTCAATGACAGCATATGCCATCGACTAAACGATGCTGGTGGGTGGCTGGTTAGTGACCCGCGTGTCAAGTATGCAGATGCTGTGGGCTCAAATGGCTGGTAAATCTGGGGCTGGGTCTCAGTATTTTTTTCTTTGGCATCACTTCATCTTGGTAGATCTGGCTCAGGAACAGAACTATAGGCATTTTTCTCCATTTCTTTTTCTGAGCCAATCAATTTTGACTATCCATTTGCTATTGCTAAGATTGGATACCATGCAAAAAAATGTTTTGAACTAGGTAACAGCTACCGCTTTATCCCCGCCATTTTTGGCAACAAACTAAACCTTCAAGGAAAATTGGTGCACACATCATTTGTTGGTTATCCATGGATATCTCCTGTTATCCCTCTTGTAGTTTGTAAAACCCACATGGTTTGGGCTGTCTGGCGTCCAGTTTTTGGCCCCCAAAAAATGTCCAAAATGAGGATTTCAAACACGAAAACGGTGGCACCACAATTGCAGTTTCATCAGCAGAACTGGATCAAACGGTATATTGTGTGTATATGTATGCTGGCATGTATATGTATATTAATATGTGTGTATGTGCATATATATATATATTGTACATATTTATAATTATATATATAATATATGTATATGTGTATGTGTATATATGTATATATCGATATGTATGTACAATGTATGTGTATATATATAAATATATGTATGATATATACATATACATATATATATATATGCACATATGCATATATGCATATGTGTGTATATGTGTATATACATATTTTTATATATATACATATAATATATGTAAGTGTATATATCATATATATATATATATATATATATGCCTGTAGATGTTCCTCCATGAATGGCTGGAAAAAATAAGCAACCCACATATTTAAGTTAACTCAATGGATGAAGAGGTGCTGCAAAAAATATCCCACCGCGTCGCAACAGTTGCGGACAGTATCCGCGAGAATCCAAACCCTCGTCATTCACATTCCCAGGACGAGAGGAACTCTCAGCATATCAGCACAGCGGGATTCCGATATAATCGTTACTATATATAATATAATATATAATATTATATATACAATAATATATAAATAATATATATAATATAATATATATATATTGTATAATATATACAATACATAATATATAACATATTATATATATAAATAAAATACATACATATATATATATATATAATGTACAATATATATATATATATATACATATTATATATTATATAAATATAAATATATATATATATATATTGTAATATATATGAAATAAAATTTGATATATATAAGATGATACATATAATGAAATATATATTATATAATGTAATATATAAACTATAATATAATATAAAAATATAATATAGTATCATATAATAAAATAAAATGTAATATATATATATAATATAAAATAATATTATATCATATGATATGATAAATACAATATAATATAATCTAAAATAATCTAATATAACATAATATAATATAATATAATATAATATAATTTAATACGAGTATACTATAATATAATACGAGTATAATATAATATAATACAATATAATATAATATAATATAATACAATACACATATAATACACATATAATAATTTAATAATAATATAATATAATATAGTATAATATAATAATAAACAAAAACAAGTATCATATAATACACATAATAATATAATATACATAAAAATATACATAATAATATACATATAATAAAATATATATACATATCGATGACTGACTTGAAACCCAATTAAGATACCCAACACATGATTTGACGACAAAATGCATTGAAACAACTGATATTTTTAGTAATATCCAACGAGTTGAATCCCGCCTAGGCCTCCCTCTCTACTTGCCCTTGCAGCAGCTTCTGATGATGCGCACGCACCATCTCCTCCTCAGCGGGGAGCGGGAGAGCTTGAAATTCTGGGACTTCAAGATGTTATAAGACGTTTGAAAGTACTTAGTTTATGTGTACATATTCTGGGACTTTTATTATGGGACTTTGAAAAGTACTTCCCACCTATGTTCCATGTTATGTGATGTTATGTGTACTTATATTGTCAATGTGCATGTAAATCATGGAGCCAAAATCTGGCATGGTTATATTAATTCTAAACCTGAAATATGGTAATTTTATGTAATTTGGGGATAGTGAGACTACAATAACCATCATTTAACAGTGATGTCGCAGCGAGGTCGTTGTAATTCAGATATTGATCCATGTTCACCATATTGAGCTTATATGTAAAATTATATATATATATATATTATATATACATATATTATTTATGGAACTTGGCCAAGAAAAATATGAAATGGATACCTAAGAATGGTTTGATATCAGTTTCGGAGAAACGAAGAAAACATCCATCATCCATCTCGTTTTGATCTCCGTTTCGGGTTGCTTTTCCCCAAGGGATTTCACTAATGATTTTTCACCAGGATGTTGGATGATGGTCATAGGTAACTGGTTGGTGGTGACTTAACCATCTTGAGAAATGAAGTTCGTCAATGGGAAGATCAATTATCCCATATATGAACTGGAAAATAATCCAAATGTTTGAAACCACCAAGCAGATATATTCTCCCATTATCAACCATTATTAACCATTATTAACAATGGTTTTTCACCCATGTTTGAAACCACCAACCAGGTAAAGCCTCTGAAAAACCTACCAATGGAGATTGTCTCAGCTCAACTTGTACAGCATTGGCATTGGCTCCTCCATGGTATCTCGGACGTAGAAACGATACCTGAGCGCGTGGACCGAAGCGAAAGATACAGATCTTTTTAAAGGGGGTATTAGATGGTATTAGTATATTAGTATAGACCCACAAAAAGATGTGATATAAAGTGTGATGTAGTGTATAACTTGTTTTTTTGTCGGATAGAATGGGACATGACTGATCAACACTATGGATATGCGTGATGATATTTAAGGGTGTCTGACCTTTGGTATACCCAGCGCAACTTGCTCCAAATTGTCGATGGGGATCATTGGATCAGGCCATAGAATGTTGGCCCAAAAAATGGGCGCCATCTGGGCCCCAGATTCTTCTTTTCAGAAAGGTGTTTTTTTATGCCCATTTTAATGGTCTTCTTGGTGCTGCTTTCTGAATCGCGTTTTCTCGGAAATGGCGCAGCCTCTGAGTTCCGTTCTCTGATCTAGTGGTTCTGTAAACTCAACTTGCAACCATATGAGGTTGGGTCTTTCCACAAGCTCAAAGAAACATTTGAGATTGGTCAATGCCGTCAGTTGGGGTCATCGCTTTTTATGGAGGGGATGAACATCGGAAACCCAGCCGGTTGGTGAGTCAGTGAATCCAGCGATTCGCCACACACATATCATCTTAATTCATGGAGGTACGTTAGTACCATATATATAAGGCCATATTCTGGGGATATATCCGCTGAAATTTAGGCCTGAAAAATAGGCCATATATGGTAGGTACCTCCAATTTAGGTTCCTGAAATTCCCATTGATTATTCCTACATTGGTCTCCAACTGATCTCTACTGATACCCGACAGCCAATGAGCCTCAGGGATCCTCACCCCACACTCTAGCATGCCAGACTTTGATTGGGAAGTTGAGGTAAGTGTTAGGGGGTTACGAATGTAACAAATAGATACAAATAGGGTCTGTCAGCAAACTCATGGCTGATACTTAAACTCCTATACTGTTTTGGAGTCAAAGATCCATATCGTTTTGTTTACCCCATCATGCAGCTGCCGAACTAACCATGGCCGCATGGCCCCGCATGGCGCATGAAAGGAGATCCCATTGAGGCAGCCATCACTGGTCGTTGATTTCGCCCATCATCATCCCAAATAGGGAGTAAAACTATATGTAACAGTTGGATTGGTTGTATCGTGTTGTATCATCCCGACTTGCTGGTGATACCCCTAGGATATTTAGAATCGCTAAAACAAATTAGATCACATCTTGCAAATGATCTGCTAGACTTGATGATCATGTCCAGAGAAGGGACATGTTCATCAAGGCTTTGCTGCAGTTATGGCCATTTATCAGTTATAAGTACTAACAAAACCCCATTTATAGAATGTATAATCTCATTTATAACCACTTATAACTGGTAAATGACCATAACTGTGTTTAAAGATCTTTGTTGCTTGTTCCCATTTTTCAGGAACGCTTCTTTATACAATACCCGGTGAAACGTGGCTGGAAAATCCCCCAGCCAAAACATCGAGGTTTATATTCATCATCTTCGGAAAATCACTAGGAAAATCATCTAGTCATGGAGGTAATCTGGTTGGTGGTTTCAACCTAGGTATATCTACCTACCCCTCTGAAAAATGATGGAGTTAGTGAAAGTCAGTTGGGATGATGACATTCCATTCCCAACTGAATGGAACGTCATAAAAGCCATGTTCCAAACCACCAACCAGATATATTCTACCATTATTAACCATCATTAACCATCATTAACCAGCTTAGATAGCCATAGACCCATAGATACCCTACATTTCTTGAGTTTCCCATCGAAAAAAAAACTAGGAATTGTTCGGTTTTTTTCCAGCCAACCCCCTCAGGACGATTTCGGTCGAGTGACACATGCACGTTTTCCTTCTGACCTTGACGTCTCACACGCCCAATGGCCTGCGACAGTGACGTGACTGGGATGATCCTTACCAAAGAACACTGATTAGTAGGATCATTGAATCTTCAATGTTAACCAAGTTGGTAGGATGATCATACCAAGTGGACTATGAATGTTACAGTGACTCAAGTTTTTTTTGTGATCATTGATAGGTTCACATGTCCAAACCTTGAGAATTGTCATGCATTGAGTGAGGGAATCATCTCTTTGAACGCTCCAAATGGCCCAAAGAAATCTTACCATCTCTGGTGCATAGGCATCCCAAAAACATAGAAATACTGAGACTTTTGTTTCAGTCTTATGACCTCTTGGAGACATTGAAATCTAATAGAAAAACAAATCTTTCAGGACCCCAGACATTTCGATGGGTCTTCAACTAAAATGCGTGGTTTTGATCAATAACAAGCAACTCACACTATATGATACATTCTCGTTTTTTCCGTGTAGGTGTCCTAAAATCAATGGGGGTAGCCCTAGATAATCTTCCATTTCAATCCATTTCAATGATGTACCCTCTGGTAATTTAACATAACTATGGAAAATCACCATTTATAGTGAACTTTCCCATGAAAAATGGTGATTTTCCATAGTTATGTTAAATTACCAGAGGGTATATGATGTGTTCCATGAAATTTCTACCATCGAGCTATTGGGATCTCCCATTGAACCTGTCGCTCGAAGCTCAGGGCCGCGTCCCGGGATTCCGCCAGCATGGGATGGACCAAAATGAGGTGATGACAACCTGAGACCAGCCGCTGCGACGCCATGGAGGCTGCGACGCCATGAAGGGAACCAGGGCTGGGATCATCGAACTGCACGTGTCATGGAAGATACAACTCTTGGCCGGATGTTTGTTCATATTTTGAATAGTGTTGATGGGAAAAAAGGCACTGGCAATTGTTGAAAGCTTATTGAGATATTGCGATTGTGAAAGGGGTACCAAGTCTAATCCGAAGTTTAGAGGTTTGAATCCCAGGCCCGCATTAGCCAATGCTGGGCACGCATCTCGCACAAATCCGGGGCTGAGCAATTGTGTTTACACAACATGCAGTAACTTGTGCTCTTCGCACTATGTTCAAAAACATTTTAGTGGCTGAAAACACGTTTTTCCCCAGAAAGAATATCAGAATACATGTCGGATAAGATGTCAAATAGAATGTCATGTCAGAATGAATATTCATACTGTAAGTATCTGTACATAGATACATACATCAAATAAATGTAAGAATAAATACCACGGTGACCGAAGGCACCCTTCAAGTGTTGATTGCTTTTGCACATCTGGCTGGAAACTTACCTTTGGTGTATCAATCTTTTTACAGATGAAATCCAAATTGATGATTGAATAAAGTAGATCATTTCTAAATCCATATCTTTCAGATTGTTTTAGATTGAAAGCCAATGTTTTCATGGTTCAGAAGTTGACTTTCCTAAGTTGCAATTTGCATCCGATATCCACAATTTCTCAGGTCGGCCATACTTTCACCTGCGCTGGATCCTCCTGGTGCGTCTGAGGCTCCGCACAGACCAGATTCATCCCCGCCTTGGCACCGTGTGGAGGCGCCACAATCTCTGGTGAACTGCTGCTATTCGGTTGAACATGTGTGGTGGGTACCCAGAAAAACGCCTTTTTTATTTGGATAAACCCTGGATTTTGGATTTTGGATAAACCAAGGGAAGCCTCTTTTCACTGAATTTAGCCTGAAACTCCAGCATTTCTTCCAACACCTGCCTCTATGATGATCTATTCAAACTAAATAAACAAAAACAGTCATTAACAAACATAAGTTTTTATTCACTCTAAGTTTAGTGTGTTCATGCGTTTTCTCTCTTTTTTGTTGGCTATCATTTTTTTTCCAAAGCCGCCCATACTTTCATCGATGGTATCTACACTGCTGGTTCTTCCCCGCATCCAAGCAACAGGACTACGTTCCAGTGAGAGAAGTAGGATCTGATTTTCTTGCCTCGCGGCGCGGGAACTGCATCCCAACTTGGGGTTGCAGTTCTTGTAAATGGATATATATATATATATATTTATACAAAAAGTATACTATATATAAATATATATATTATTATACTATATATATATATATACTATACTATATATATATACAAATCAATTAACCATTCTTCTAGGGGTCCAATATTACCCCATATCCCAACTTATGGGGGTCAGAATTCCATCATTATATCAATTCTAATAGCCCCTGGCCTGCACCCCTCAACCGATCCACTGTAGCTATCGAATATGACCTTTTAATAGGTAAGTCATGATACATCATCTACAAATGGGCAATTTTTCATAGCTATCCAGCTATGTCAAATAACCAGATGGTATATATATATAAGTTCTTCATATGACCCGCCAAAATATGGATAAATCACAATAACAAAACGCTCAAACCAACGCACTCAGCAACCAGTTCCAAGCAAAGGACCAATCTAATGTGCATTATGTGCTTCAATCTGCCCACATCGCCCGCATCGAAAAACCAATCTCCCTAGACCCTCTTTAAGAAAAACACAGAAACATAGATAAAATATGATAAAATTAAGGTAAACGTACTAAGTTGAACCGGCAAGCCAGACGTGTATAGTTTGGATCCTGGTCGTCCAAACAAATCAATTCAGGGTTTCATCCATTTTAAAACCACAGTTCTTCGGTCTTCCCCCGGGCCGGCCCTGGCGCGTGGAACTGACGGATGGCGCGGCGTCGCTCGAAGACGGTGCCGCGCAAGGTCAAGCAGGACATGCCCAAAGAGGACAGGGCGCCTTCCATTTTCCTGGGCTGGTGTTTTTGACCAAAACGCAACGGCGTTTTGTCACCCACCTCTGACAAAACGCAAGGCCGTTTGAGTTTCATACTCAACTTATCTCAACTTGCCGCCAATGAAAACCAATGGATTCAATGGATTCTGATCATAGAAATGATGTGATTCATGTCATCTATGGGATTATCATTGACAATCTAATGATCGATGTATGTCAAGGTCAATGTGGCTATCCCAGACATTGCATCAGTGAAAAAATAAAACTATAAAATAAACCTGTTGTATGGAATATACCCCAGTTATAAAGGAACTATCACTCACAAACTGAGAAGATTAACTGGGCAAACCAATTGGCCGAATTTCAATGGCTACTAACCAGGTAACCAGGCATTATAAATGGGTAATGGGAAATGAACAAAAATAAACATCTAATGTGTATATATATACATAGATATGTACATACTTAGCTGCATTATAATGATGCAGACACTATTATAATATAATCATATGTAATAATCTGATAATATCAATGGTACACCATTTACCAGCTGGGAATGTCAAGGTTAATTGTGGGTTTGCCACCAAACAACATGATTACCATCAAAAATGGTGGTTTTACAACAAAAAAACAAAGGGATGCTACAGAAAGCACTAGACATCAATGTGGGATAATTGTGGGATCATCTAATATGCATATATATATATATACATATTTACATACGATGGGAAAATCTATAGTACTATATGATTCAACCAATTCAATGTGAATGGTTGTTCCCAGAAGTGATTATTGGGGATGAAAACAAACAATGTCTTGGGGAATGTCAATGCGGGATGCAGTAGACCAAGCAAACAACTATGAAGCATATCATGTATTATCATTACATATATGTATATATATATATATATATCCTTGCATGTATATATATATATGTATGTATGTATGTATGTATGTATATATGTACATATATATAATTATGTATATATATATATATATATGTAAATGTGTATGTATGTGTGTAGCTCATATATATATATATATGTAATACACATGTCAAGATCATCAAAGGACATGTTCCCACTTGGTTTGTAAGGCTGGCTACGATTGGTCCCATACTCTTCCACCGCAGCCTGATCGGAGATCTTGAACCCATCCCGGGATGATGACCATTTTACCATGAGATCTGATATCTATCTATTTATAGCCATTTATAATTTATGGCAACAAATCATGATGGTTAATGATGGTTAATGATGGTTAATGATGGTTAATGATGGTTAATGATGGTTAATGATGGTTAATGATGGTTAATGATGGTTAATAATGGTTAATGATGGTTAATGATGGTTAATAATGGTTAATGATGGTTAATGATGGTTAATGATGGTTTATGTTGGAGATCTTGTCATAAACCACACTCAGGGGAGTTAACAGTAATAGGGACATCCTGGATGATGTGTATATATCTATCTATCCATTATCCATTTATCCATCTATACAAACACGTACATACCCTCTGGTTCTGGTAATTTAACATAAGTATAGAAAATCACCATTTATAGTGAATTTTCGCATGAAAAATGGTGATTGTCGATAGTTATGTTAGTTTACCAGAGAGTATTCAATATGAATATACAGTTGGATTGTTCCAAGGGGAATCCACGGTCACTGAACTCTTGCACACAGGGCACCTGTGAGACCTTTCTGGGATGCTATTTTTTTGGGGGGTATCTATAAATAAGATGTGCAGTACCAAGAATATTATTATATCAACATATATCAACATATTATTATACAACATATATCCAATACAATATAATCAACATATATTATCATTAAAAATACAATAATATATCAACATAGATTTAAATACCAATAAACACAAAAAATGGAGATCTTCCATGGATTTTGCCCAAAGTCACAGGGAGATTCCAATGGGGGACATGGGACCGCCTCCGTTAGCGACCCTCAGAGTTCCAACACCTGCCATGGTTTGCGAACAACACGTTGTTAGTAGTAGTAGCTATACTTTATAGCCATTTATGGCAACAAATCATGATGGTTAATGATTGTTAATGATGGTTAATGATGGTTAATGATGGTTAATGATGGTTAATAATGGCGATTAATGGTGATTAATAACATTTTTTTGGTAAAACAATGCCATAACACCATCCCCCAGTCATCACCATTTTTATAGGTGGTAGATATAAACCATTCCCAGTCATGGGTGGTAAACATGGCATTGTTTTAACCACATTATTACCCTCTGGTAATCAAACGTGGCAATTGAAAACCATCCAACTGCTAGAGTTTCCAGCCATCTGTGACACCGGTATCCCGTTGAATGTCCCATTGAATGTCCCATGATAAAACATGATAAACCATCATAAAACCATCATAAACCCACTATTAAACCATGATAAACCAACCAATCAGCGCTGGTGCCGGGCATCTTCCGCAACACTTCGAACTGAACAAAAATGATGACCTGCCGCCGACGGATGCGATTTTTTTTCGACGGCGCTGAAAGCGAATCGGACCGGCGGAAGAAGCAGCTTGGGCATATGTTTCATGACTGCTGGAAGAAGCAGCTTGGGCATATGTTTCATGACTGCTGGAATTAACATATATATATATATAATATATATATAACCTATACTTGTATATATATAGACATTATCTGCACACACACACATATATATATATAGATAGATAGATAGATAGATAGATAGATAGAGAGAGAGAGAGAGATAGATAGATAGATAGATAGATAGATATGGATATAGATATGCCATAAGCTGTGCTGTATACTGGGACAGTATGGTACAGTAATATGCACGTTTCTGCAGCAGTTTTCCACTGCTTCTACACGACACCTCTGCAAAATGGCTGGGTTTCCAGCTCAATATCTGGATTTATCTTTCCAAGAAAATATGGGGAAAAAAACTGCTTGAACCAGCTACAGTTGTTTATTTTGGTGAAAATGAGTCAATTAGGATCATGATTCTCAGTAGTAGGGATGGAAACAAGAACATACTTGAAACCCATCAGGTCAATCCCTTTCTTCATTGGTATTTTCGAATTTCGGGCAATGGTTCCTTCTTGGTTCCCAAAAAATCTCCCTTCAGCACCCATTCCAAACCAAACAATATCAAACATACAAACAGGACAACACAAAACTTCTCAAAATAAACCAAAAGACAGCACAGAGTCCAATCAATTGCCAAACATATACCAGTATCTATATCATATCACTTAAACCTCGCATTTATTTTAGTGAAAAAAACATCAACAAAAACACAAGAAATGACCAATGGCTGAATCGGCTGCCTTGGCTCCTTCTTCATTTTTCCAAATGTTCTTCAGTTGGTTGCACACGGCCTGGACTCCCAGAGTTGAAGCTGAAACAAACAACAAACCAACGACAGAACTGGGGGATAAACCAAAAGAAACAACTATAAAACATGACATGAAACAACTACAATTGCGGATATCATGATATATACCCTCTGGTAATTTAACATAGCTATTGAAAATGGTCATTTATAGTTGATTTTCCCATTAAAAATGGTGATTTTCCATAGCTATGTTAGTTTACCAGAGGGTAACTAACTCAATCTTTTTGGGTTTGGCCAAATGCTTCATCTTCATAGCCCATGTTGGAAAGTTCACCTCATCCTGGAATATGGTGGCAGTGGATGCCCCCGAATCTGATAGCCATTTGTAGATTCTATTACCCTCTGGTAAACGTATGTAAACGTTTACAAAAAACTATGGTAACTATGTGACAATCAGCAATTTTAGATGGGTAAATCAACTATTTCGACTGGGCCATGGCTTCAATAGCTTTTTGGATGTTTACTCTTGTGGAGTGATCAGATCCAAGGAATCCAAGGCCCTATATTTTTCCCCAGGTTCCAAAAAGGCGTTTTTGACGTCTGTTGACCAAGTAATCGAAGTTCGCAACGAAGTCCAAGTATCATCAATCCCAGCCCATTTATCCCCAGAATTAGTTATATGATATATATATATATATCATATATATTATATGGGGAATACTAGAAATTATATTAAAATATAGTACATGGCTATATTATAATCATACATATTATATAATATAATTTCTAGTATTCCCCATACTCTTCGCAGACTATTCCCGTCCAACATTTGGAGAGAATTCCGACTTTACAACGGCGCCTCCAACTTGGATCCAAAGCGCGCGATGCGCGCTTGAGACGACACCTCCTGGCGAATCCGGAGGAATCCGGCTCCACATATGAGAATCATCTGAAACATCATTGAAACTTAAATGGAACACTGTTTAATTGGATGTATAACATTATTTTAACATATTCCTGTTTTTTGATTAATTGTGGTCTGTTTGATTGATATTATACTATTAATTATATTTGTTCTTGATAGTATTGACAGAATAGAATTAATGACCATTAATGTCATAGTAATATGAAGAACCATTATGTAAATATTAATGTCATGTAATGTCAATGTCAACTGATGATCGTATTATAACATAATAGTAAGGACACATTCTGGATTAACGATCATTATTCGTGATCCTAGCAGTATTGATTGATATTAGGATATGATACTAAAGGGATACTAATATCTCAATACTTGTATCCTTATAATACACATGAGGCATTGAGAGGGATAAAGGGATATGATACTTGCCAATAATATCCTAATACTATCAGGTTATTATCCAAAAAACAATATTACCATTAATCATCCCCATGTAAGATAGTAATCCCCATAGCCATAACAAAAAAATCTGTGTAAATTATCATAATTCACTAACCTGAAACTTGCGGCCATTGTGGGATAATTCACCTTACTCACCATCATCTGGTTGGTGGTGTTAACCATCTTGAAAAATATGAGTTCGTCCATGGGAGGGATTATCCCATATATTATATTATGGAAAATAAAAAAAATGTTTGAAACCACCAAGCAGATATATTCTCCCATTATCAACCATTATTAACCATTATTAACCATGGTTTTTCACCCAGTAATGGTTGAAACCACCAACCAGATCATCTATGGTGAGGTCGTAATGAAGTCGTTTTTCAAAATTTACCCAAGAAGCGGCGCCGTTTCGCGCCTGGTTGCGGGATAAGACCTCTGTCGCCGCTGCCACGCCACCGGTAAGCTGCAAAGGGTGGTTGCAGCTGGGACATTTGTGGCCTTTGTCCTTCAACCAGCCTGAAGCTGACTGGGACAAACAGGATGATTTTAAGGTTTAAACAATCATATGGAGAACAAAAACATATTATATATATATATACACGTGTAAATCATGTTCCTAGAGTGAAACCATGGTGCTGTTCCATATTGTTTTGTTAATGTGCTGTGATCTCATAGGGCTAAGCAACAATGGTGGATTTTTTGAATACCCTTAGATGATCTGAACGATGCAGTGCTTCTGTTTTCCACCAAGGCATCGGGGTATGGAAAATGGCCCATCTATAGATGGTTTACCGAACTTAAACATGGTGATTTTCTAGTTCGCTATTTTGACATAACCAGAGGGTAAACAATGAACCGATGTTTGCGGGCCAATACACACTTTGTACCTTCTGGCAATCAAACATGGCTGAAGTATCAACCATTGTAAGATACGATACACCTTTAGGAACAATGGGATTTCCATGGACCATAAGGTTACTGAAGGGATAGTATGTGATAGTATGGGATAGGTTTTTAAGCAACCCGGCTTTTCACTTGTGATTCTTAAGCAACAGTGTAGGTTGGTGGTGTTCCAACTCAATTTGGCATCAGAAATGGAGTTTTTTCATCGCCGCGACCCCAAAACCCGCCAAAACGCGCAGCTCAGGAGCCAGTAATGCAGCTTTGACCTCGGCATGGAATCCACTGGCCGGTTTCTTGATGTGCGACAGTGCGACATCGTTGATTTGTTTAATCCATATGTTCCCACTAAAAAAAACATTATTAATGTGGATAATCACGATTTTAACCGTTATAAAAACCATTATGAAAAAACATGTGGATACTCTATTCTGGATCGTTTAGTTTACTTATGTTTACTTTGGTTTATCTATGACGATCCCTATTTTTGTTAATATACACTACATTTAATTCTAATATCAAATATCAATCTTTGTCTGTTCATATAATTGCTAGCAACAAAAAGATCAAAGTTAGTGAACTTCCATTGACATACTGATAAATTACGTGTCCATTTTGATGTTGGTTAGTCTACTATCCAACAACAAAAATCCTCCAACGCGCGCCACCAAGAAACAGAAGAGATGGCCACAGGCCGTCACACTGCACTCCTCCGTTTCGATGTCCTAACAGGATCAGCTTTCCGGGCTTTCGCCAACGAAACTTGGGATGAAAAACCATCGAACATGTGGGAAGAACCTGGCATAATGTTGTGATATAAAGTGGATGTACATAAAACATAACAGGTATATAAAACATGTTAAAACATAACAACCAAGGTTCGTGTAACTTGAACGTTTGTTGAAACAGCTCCTTTGAGTATTGTTCGAAGATGGGTAGTGTTGCAGCAATAATGATTTCACTTCCAAGCCATAGTTCCTTCCCGAAAACGACTATTCTTGGACCCTCTGATCTTGATAAACCCCAAAACAGTATGTTAGAGGGAACTTACTTCTCCAATCATCTCTATATTTTGTTGAAGAAACAAGTCTTAAATGGCTTTGTCTGACAATAGAGTACTCAGTACACTCCAAAATCCAATGCTTTGCAATAGTTTTCCCGATCAGCCGCTTCACCCAAAGCTGCGCCGTTGCGCCCAGCATCTGTCATGCATATTGGGCATTCCACATTTGCCTCGCGAGAACCCACTGACAGAGGCCCGGCCCGAGAAATCTACTTTGCAACCTCAATCAACCAAACCCATAGGATCCATGTATGCTATATATGGTAACATTCACCATCAATATACTCCAAATGTTAGCATATATACCATACATGGATCCTATGGGAAACAATGTGGTTAAACCAAAAAAGAACTAGGATATAGGACCTCAGCACTGAGACAATAACGATCTCCAATCGATTCTTGGTTCCAATTACTTTAACTCCTAATTTTCGACCGTCATTCATGGGTAGATGTCATCCAGGTCTGATAAGAACATCTACCACCAAATCCAAAATTATTTAAGCAACAAATGAGCCATCGCAAAATCCAAGCCTTGAAACGATACCTATGTCCAAACAAAGAGGTACCCGATTTACCCCTGAAATCCAATGGTGCCATCCCTCCCAGATGGGCCACCAAGAAGCCATACGTTATGAGCACAACCCTATAGTCACTAGATAAAACAAATTCAACACCCGTACTCCCAATGCAATGGGATATCTTGATAGGTGCTCATAGGGGCTAGCTATCATCTATTGACACCAACCCAGGGTGCTCAAAATATCAATAGATGATTTGAACCCAATTTGGATGGTTGAAATTGATTGTTGGGATGATGACATTTCCAATATATGGAAAAATAAAAGCTATGGTCATTATTCCAATATATTGTTGGGATGATTATTTCCAATTGGGATGATTATTTCCAATATATGATTATTTCCAAACCACCAACCACTCTCAAAATAAAAAAAACCTTTGGTCATTCGCGCTTGTGGAATCTACTTACTATTTTTGGTCATCGCCGCTTCACCAAAATTCTCCACCGCTCAGGCCCCCAGTCACCTGCTCCAACTTTTTCAATTCTTTCAAGACTTCCTGCAGGGGACCACATTGGTCAATGGTGGAGCCATGGCCCATTTTCATAGGGAAAAAACGATGATCATCCATTGCAATGGAAGGGGTTCCTCTAAATTTCCAAACTACCATCTGGTTATGACTAACAGTTTGCCATGGAAAATCACCATGCTATTGCGCAGTCGCTCTCGTTCTTTGTTGCGCCATGAAACGTGGAGCACACATCTCCAACCGGAATCTTCAACTTGGCCTCCTGATGCTTCCATACATAGCAACTTGTGTAATTGCCATTTGAAAGGTTCAAAAATTATCAAAAATTGCCGCCATTCAACAGGAAACATATCCCTTGGGATCGCTTGGGGTAATTGTCGACGATGCGGTGGTGGAAGATGCCTATATTCCTATGTGCTGAAACACGTCTGTATATCACTCCTATCCACAAGGCGGACATACCAGACATGGGACATACCATGGGGTTACGGAACGCATTTTGGATTCTGTATTATGTTAATATATATTAATTGTATATACACGCTGTATATGATATATGTACATAGTGCACAAAATATGACCTATAAAGTGTTGCAAAGAAACATACAGGAACAACAAGATTGAACAGCTCCATCTCTTATTCTAATCAGCTTCAGTGGGTGCACTCCGCTATGACAGGTCGTCTGCCAACAACAAACACGTTTTTTCACCGGTACCAGTACCAATTGTCCACGGGGACCTAAATCATCCAATCCAAAAATGAATGATCACTGAGGGGTACCCTCTGGTAAAATAAATATGGACAATCACCATTTATCATTTTTATTGGCTATGTAAATCAACTTTTCATGGCTATTTTCAATAGTTTTTTGTATGTTTGCCGGTACCCCCCGGTACCCCCAGTTACCCCTTAGGGCTTCAAACATCCCGGATCGCCGTTTCTGCCCTTCGGCCCGCCTCGAAGTATTTCTTGCGGCTCTCCAAGCGACGATCCTTTTGCTCCATCAGCGGCATCGTCGCTTCCAGGCGCCGAAGCTTGCCCTTGAAACGCGAAAAAAAGGCCGCGCCAAATCCCAGGAGATCCCGGGCGCAGTTTTCTACAACCTATATAATACATATTAATACATATTATATAGATACAGTATGTATATATATATATAACTATATATATATGTGTGTATTGTTCAATTGATATGTTTGTTAAAACAAAAAAAACTTCCAACATATCATTAAGAAATCAAGAATCGATGAATCAACTGGGGAGAAACCGATGCTCATCCTCCGTGGGAAATTATATATCCCCATGGGATAAATCCGCGATTGCTGATAGTTAACTGTTACATAGTGCTGGTGATTTTACCCATATATCCTCATTATGTTTACAATTGTTGGAGGAATGGGGAGGAAAATCATTGTAGATATCATTATATACAACTAAAATTCATCCATCATTGCTAGGAAAACAAACATACTTAAATACACTATTGATAGTTAACACACATAGTTTACATAGCTAAATACCACTGTCACTTTATCTAACGCCTTCATATATATATATATAAGGGCTCACACAACCTTCTTTTACCGCATAGCAGGATCATTGTTGTCAAATTAAAATAGAAAAAATGCAATCAGAAAGCTCATTCCCAGAGCTCTAAAGTGCAATCAGAAAGCTCATTCCCAGAGCTCTAACCCTCCCAAAAACCTTCTGCCAAGCCAGAAGGGTTTCAGGCCTCAGGGTCTTAAAATTGTTTATGGTACCCCCCAGTCCTTCCTGCCAAGCCAGGAATAGAACCAGGCCCCAAGTACCAATTAAACGAAAAAGGGCCCCACTTCTCCATTGGGCTCTGCCCTCATTGATCTCTTTCAGAAAAAAGCCACATTTTTTCTCCTCTTTCCACCCAAAAAGGGGCGGTGTGAGGGAGGGAGCTGAAGCCGAAACTGCAGGCAAAGACAGGTATGGTTCACCCTTATCCCCGTGGCCGTAGGAACAAGGGCTCACACAACCTTCTTTTACCGCATAGCAGGATCATTGTTGTCAAATTAAAATAGAAAAAATGCAATCAGAAAGCTCATTCCCAGAGCTCTAAAATGCAATCAGAAAGCTCATTCCCAGAGCTCTAACCCTCCCAAAAACCTTCTGCCAAGCCAGAAGGGTTTCAGGCCTCAGGGTCTTAAAATTGTTTATGGTACCCCCCAGTCCTTCCTGCCAAGCCAGGAATAGAACCAGGCCCCAAGTACCAATTAAACGAAAAAGGGCCCCACTTCTCCATTGGGCTCTGCCCTCATTGATCTCTTTCAGAAAAAAGCCACATTTTTTCTCCTCTTTCCACGTCCCCCTGAACTGCTCTTATGAGCATGCTCAAGGTTCGGCACAGGTTGAGCAAGGGAATGTTTATAAATATTAACAAACCCTTGGAGCTTTGACATAGGGATCTTCATTTCAGCAAGTGTGGCAAGTCCATTGTTAATGTAAATGCGTGCCGTTTTAGGCGTCTGCCACGGCCATGGATTAACAACCTATCTAATGACCCGTGTTTGGAGAACCAAAAGGTAGTTCCACCCCGACGCAGGAAAAACATAACGAATGAAAACTTCCGTTTAGAGCCCCCTGAAAACTTCCGCCATGCCAGGAAGAAATTCAGGCCTCAAGGCTCTCATTTGGTGCCCCCTAGTCATTTCCCCAAGCTGGAAATAAACTAGGCCCCAAGCACCTTAAAAGTCGCTCTCCTTTGGTACCCCCTAGTCATTTCCGCCAAGCCGGAAATAAACTAGGCCCCAAGTACCTTAAAAGTCACAAGGGAGATGCACCATCACCCCAATTTCCTCACAAATCACCCTGCAAACCACAGAAAAATTTGACTCCACGTCTCTTTCCACGTCCCCCTGACCCCCTCGCTTTGCGAGGGTGCTCAAGGCTCGGTAACGGTTGATGTACGGATTGTCGGTAAACTGGTAAAAATCCTTGAAGTTTATGCATTGGGAGTTTCATCTCCGCTAGGGTAGCAAGTCGAGAGTGAATTTAAATTCGCGCTGATTTAGGAGCTTGCCACCTTCCCTAAATTAGAAAACGGTCCAAGGAACCATGCTTAGTAAACCAGAAAGTAGCTCCGCCACGGCGGAGGCTATATGGTCGACACTGGAAATTTCCTAATCCCAAATCACTCACCGCCTCAGAAAATCACTCACCGTCTCAGTAGAATTCTTTTTCCACCATCGGAGTCTACGTACCACATCCGCCACGTTAATAGTGATGGATTCTGCTGCTCCTCGGCGTTTACCACCAAATGGTTCTCCAACGCCACCAACGGCTTGGAACCGAACTTCGTAACCTCAAGGCTCTCATTTGGTGCCCCCTAGTCATTTCCGCCAAGCCGGAAATAAACTAGGCCAAGCACCTTAAAAGTCGCTCTCATTTGGTACCACTCTCCACCGCCACAATTTGCTGGGTACGGAAGCTTGCAACCGGTGGAATTTCACAGTGCCCATGCTAGGGGCCTGGAGGAGCAGATCTTCGCCCTTGATTGACTCAAAGTTGATGAGTTTCTTGGCAAGCTGCCCTTCCGGAGCCTCCGCTTCCTTGTTGCGCACAGGGCGCAAGGGCAACCGCCGGAGGTATCCCTGCAGGGTCTGGTCGGCGCCCGGGGAGGCTCCCAACACCACATCGTGTACTGTACGCAGCTTTGTAAGCCCCAGTGGTGCAAACAACTCCTTCAGCAACCAAGCAACAACGGGCACATGCCATGAGTTGCCGATGAGAGTATGGCGTACATCACTATATTCGGTTCCCTTTTGTTTGCTTTTTGGAAGGCAAGGAGCTGTATACCCGACTGGGAACCCCATTGCTGCTTCCTTCTCCGCAATGTGAGGGAGACGCCTGTCTCCCACACTGTTGACGAGGCAATGCTTGTCGCGGTAGACATAAGGAGGGTATCGGTGGTCATCTTGCTTCCACCTTTCTAACTCCCAACTTTGACATTGCCACAGTCCTGCAAGGCGATTTCCTGGCTGCGCTCGCGGCCTGGCAGTGGTGCAGGCGGGCAAGGGTTCGTCCCCAGGCAGGCGCCACCCCTGACACAGGTAGTCTGCGGGGCCCACCACGGAGTCCAAGGTTATCACCCTGTACAACTCCCAACCAACTCCTGTACCCTCACTGATTTGAACGCCTTCGGCCCAACGCAGCTCCCAGGATAGCCAATACAGCCGAGGTCGCCGGCAGATGGAAATCCCGGCCGCATCGACCAGGTACGGCGTTACGCCAATATCCGCGCTCATTGTAGCACGGTCCTTTGCATCCATCGAGAAAACACTTTCCATGAAGTAGTGCACCTGAGACCATCTGAAGTGCTTCTTGCATAGTTCGTAAACCCGACGGACATGGACGAACAACTTGCTACGCGCATCCTTCTGCGCGCCCTTCTGGTCGGAATTCAATCCGGAGACGCCCTGGCAAGGAGGTCCACCCCCTACCAAGACAACCCCGGCATTTGAGAACTTCAAGGCCCAGCCAAGCACCATGTCTTCCGAGATGCCGGCCACGTCTCCCACGGCAATGGTGTCCGGGAAGTTGCTCTCCAGCACCCGAGAGCCCTCAACGGAGACCTCTGCACTGATATGGCCTCCCATGAGGAGCTGAAGCACATCAGCTGCCACTCGAAGGGCTCCCACGCCGTCGCACAACCCCAGCGTCAGTACTTGAACAAAATCCTCCAACTCGGGCATGTCCCCTCGCACACTGCATTGCGCCGCGTGGACTCCCATCGGCGTGAGGCCCCTGCTGACGCAGAATCCTCCACCCGTCTCAGAGGCGTCACTTGCTGTCACGCCCCCGAGCACCGGAGTCCTCAGGTTCATCTGCGTAAGTGGCAAGGCACACAAGAACCGGCAAAGTTCCTTGCGCACCACAGGAGGCTCTGAGCTAAGCCCCACCACGAAGCTCCACACCTTGTTCAGCATTCCCAAGAGGGGCCGCCTGAACATGCTGCAGTAGACCAAACCGCCGCACACAATTTGTAGCTGCTTTTGACTCGCTCTCCCATCCTGTAGGAGACTCCAGGCAAGCTCGGCATACTTCAAGACCTTGTTCGGCTTTGGCTTTACCATGCCGGCAACCCCGTCCACCACCGCACCTTGAATCTCTGCAATGGTCTCCTGCTGGACGGCCTTTTTTGGATGACGTGGCAAACTCCAATGTTGGTAGCCACCCCGGAGGGCCAACACCTCAGCCGACACCTCCCCACGCACCCTCGCACCCATCAAGGGATCCATTTGCTCAAGCGCGTCAAAGTTGTCCAAGTAGATCCTGTAGACCCACTGTGCCACTGTGAAAGGCCTGTCCTTTCTCAGCTCACAGGGTGGGTTCAGGCTGGGCTGCAACCCATGCAGCGACATCCTTGCAATGCCACACTGACTGAGTTAAGGACCCCCATTGGCAAGACCCTGCTAGCAAGGTAGTGGGGCTCATAGACACCATCACCCACCACATGCTGCGGGACTGGCTTGTTGAAAGCCATGAATGGACGCCATAACACCGGGACCTCAAACAAATAGAAAAAGCATCTAATGTCTTCCGAGGACATCACTAACACCTGCTCGTCCTCCAGCAGGTACGGTGTCATACCAGCCCATGACGGAAGTGTAGAGATATCACCACCCAGGTTGCGACACAATTTGTTGACGGGCACCATGTTCATGATTAACACAAACTCGCTTGGAGATCAGCCCAGTGCAAATCTCCCCCCAAGAACTTTCATCGGCCATCACCCGTGGCGGCTTTGTGTAAACCCTGGCATCTTCTGGCAACAAATAGCCTTCGAATCTTGTAATAAAATCCAAAGTTCCCAAATCACAGACCTCACAAAGTGGTATGCTAGCGATACCCTGCGGTAAAGCAGGCTCCAAATTTTCCCCCTGCAACTCCGTGGTAAGAGTTCAGCGCACTGCACAATGCCTGCAAGACTACCACGCGTTCGGCTGAGAGATGACCAACCTGTGAAGAAAGAACCGTAAGGTTTTCAGGTAAAGGAAAAACTTCACCTGAGCACTGGACCCTGCTATGAACAAAATCCGAACCAGCACGAAAAAAGGAAAACATCTGATGAAAATGGCCAGCCATCTCCGCAAAGCTCTTGACCTCAGGAGAAACTCTAAAATGCCCCACCCCCTCGGCACCGGTCGGCGCGTGTCGGGGCGTATGAAAAATTGGGTTACCACCAGTGTCAGGAAAACGGGAAGGCCCGTTGTCTTCCCCAACTACCGGAGATGATGTACTATCTCCCCTCATAGCGGCACTCCATTGCTGTGCCTCTCCGGAGTCTTCCAACTCCCAACCATTGCCTCCGGAGCCAACCAGCTCCCCTTCACGCATACCGGAGCCAGCAGACTCCCCTCCATTCCGCCCCATAAGACCTATAGGCGGTTTTCACACAGAACCGTGTCCACGCACCCAGGGTCCACATTCAGGGCTAGCCTCTACTTCTTCTCTCGATCCTCTTTGCTGACTCCTCCTTGAGCTTGACGATCGCCTTTTCCCTTTAACTTGCCTTTGTCCTTTGTCTTGCCTTTTCCCTTTGGCTCCTCTGATCTCTTCTCCCACTCGGGTTTCTTTTCCCAGGGGCGGCTTGAAAGGCTCTTTGCCTTCAACTCCTCGCGCTGAATCCTGCTGGCCTCCAGTGCTTCTGTTGCTGTTGTCATCTGATGGAAGTCCAGCGGCACCAACTCCTGCCTCTGGGCGATGCTGTAGTGTCCTCCAGCTGAGATCTGTTCCAGACCTTTGAGCCTCTGGGTCACCACGTCGCACGCAGCTGCCACCTTGCCCTGCAAGAGCAAGTCTTGCAGGAAGCAAAGCGTTTGCGACTCCCTGCCAAGGGGGCCGCTCATCTGCTCTGAAAATTGGAGGCAGAGAGCTATGGTCCAGGTCCCACATCTGGCCGGACGTGGTGACCACCGCCAGCTGCATCTGCTCCAATGTATTCAACGTCAACGCCCCCGGGCTCTTCCTCCATACCTTTTTTATTCGAACTTCTTCTCCGAATAGCCGAGCGCCGTCGGCCTCGGAGCTGCCGGTATCTGATGTCACCGACGAGCTCCCTGACGAGCCCGTTGACTCCTTCTTGTTTCTCCTCTTTGTAAGGCGCCTTGCTCTTCTCCTGACTCTCCTCCGCACCTCCGGCTTTGGGTCGAGAGCGGTTGTGGCAAAGAGGGCTGCCGGGCTCTTCGTCCCGACAACCCTCACCCTGTCCTTCTTCTTCTTTTTCTTCCGCTTCTTCTTTGCGTCTTCGGAGCTTCCGGACAAGGTGTCCTCTTGAGGCTCCCCAACTCCTTTGTCGTCCTCTGTCCCCTTCCGCTTGGCAAGCTCTTTTTCTCGCAACCGGAGCCTCCGCAACCCGTCCTCGGCTCCCATCGGAGTTTCTGCAGCCACCAGATTGTTCATCCAAGCTGCCCTTGTAGAATCCAGCACCTTCTGCACCACCCGGCAATGAAGCAGCCCGTCTTTTGAAATCAGACCGCAACCCGGTTGGCAGATGTCCACCTCCAAGGCTACTCCAGGATGGCTTCCAGACCACTTCACCAAGCTCTCGTTCTTGGTACCTTCCAGTCTGAAACTCAAGGTGACCTGGTCCTTCTTTGTAGCTAGCCCTTCTACTCGGCCCGCTACCTGAACCTCCTCCTCCCAGTAAATGCCCTTCGTGATCGCGATATGCGTCCCACTCTTCCATGTTTCCAACGGCAGTTTATAGGCCTCTACTGCCTCTCCGCGTTGAAAACTCTCGGAGTCTCCTTCGACTCCCGGTGTCTCCTCCGCAGCACTTGCGGGCCTCCTCACACCAGCCTTTGCTCTGGCAAGTGCCTGCGCACCAGCTCCTCCTCTGACGGCCCTGTGGCCAATTGGACCAGCACCAGCTGGTCTCCTCAACGCTGCCTTGGGTGGCATTAATGCTGCCTCTTGGCAGCAATACGTCTTCTGTTGCGCTTGAACCTTTTCTGTTGTCTCTTTTTCTTCACTCCTTTGCTTTTCTTCTTCTTCTTCTCTGTTGGCATCCTCCTTTCAATGGGTGGCCTCTCCTCTTGCCTACGACGATAAGCAGGGACTGGTCCAATCCAATCTGACTGCTCCTCACGCCTAATAGGCGGGGGTCCTGGCGGACTTCTCGGCCTTCTCACTGACCGTTCCGGAGAGCCCCGTCTAGGTAGCTCCTCCCGAAAATCCGTAGATCTCCTTGGACTCCTGCCTCTTCTGTCGTCTGGTGGTATCGGGTCGTCCTCAACAAACTCCTCTTCCTCGCCTTCTTCTTCACACCACTCCTCCTGGCGTTCCGGTGTTTTGGATCGACGCTTTCTCTTCTCAGGGCTGGGTGACTTCTTCTTCCGCCGTCTGCTTCGGCTCCTTTCTCTCTTGTCCTTGGCCTTGTCCTTGTCTGAACGCTTCTTCTTTCTGTCCTTGGTTGTAGGTGCAACGCCCCCGGGAGGCAGAGGCGGCTGAGCTTTCGAGCTCAGAAGGAGGGTCTGTCCCTCCCTAGCTGGCAGGGATTTATCCTCTGCCCTCGGTGGTGCTGCGCCACCCTGATCCGCCCGCCTTTGGACGTCACACACCTCCAAGGCCCGGAGGTAGGCACCCCTTACCTCGGGATAGACCAGCTGAATGTGCTCAGCTGGGAACTCGTCCGACACCAGCAGGCACTGCAGTCGGAAGAGGGCGACACACACGTTGCACCTCAATTCCGCTACTGCCCGCCCAAATTTTCCTTGGCACGTCAGACACCGGAGAGACGGCTCTCCCATCAGCTGAAGCCGAAACTGCAGGCAAAGACAGGTATGGTTCACCCTTATCCCCGTGGCCGTAGGAACATATAATTATATACACATCATACATTGGTATTGTCACAATTATTTGATAATATTAGGGTTGTTGCAATATGTTTTGTTTTTTTATTTTTTCTAAACAAATATGTGCACAAGTACCTTCTGGTAATTTAACATAGCTATGGACACTCACAATGTGTTGTAGGTATATAAATCATCGAACTACACTGGTCATACCATAGAAAACAAATTACCAGAGAAATCCAGAGGGTTTATAGCCATAAAATTCACAACCCATGGTGAATCTTAGATACCTGCCATTTTTTTTTTAGCTGTTTAGTACGCTTTACCATGGATAGGAAAAGATATGAAAGTACTAAAGTTTATAAAGTATCCAACAAAAGTTCACCCAGTGACCATGCACCTTGAGCTTCTTAATCTCTTCCTCATTCTTGGCATTGCGCCAATTCTCGTGCTCCTGCTTCCGCAACCTGGGCGGCAGTGATACCCCCCCAAAGTGATCATCCGAACATTTGGCTTTGAAAAAATCATCCGGAAATCCGTGCTGAAAAGCCACGATATGAATGGAATTTCCATGGAAATCACTATTAAATGCGATATTTCCATGGAATCCATGGGAAATCCTTCGCGGAAACTCCAAGTTTCAACCTTTCCGGATTTTAAGAGGTAGCCCCCGGGGATGGCCATCCAGCGATCCAATGTCATCTCTGGAACAAGATCCGTTACTGTAGCTATGGAAAATTGCCCATGTGTAGATGATCTACCTACGAAACACAGTGATTTTCCAATGGATTTTCCAGCTAGTAGTTGAATTGTCAGAGGGAGCAAAAGAGGCTAATTGAGATGTGTAACTAACAAACATAGCTTCTATGTTACTGTGTTTACTTGCTCATGAAAACCCATCATCTGTATTCGAAAGTATGAAGAAACATGAACACACATCCATGCTGGCATCGGTTTTGTTCCACGGTTTGGTGATTGAAAACCTCATTTTCTCCATGGATTCTCAGTAAGAAACGGTCCCAACATGCAGTTGGATAAATCCCTAGTGGATGTTAAGATGCCCCATCTTGGGGCATATACACCAATCCATATTGTTTTCAACAGGGCACATATTTGAATGTTTGGTGCTTTTTGGCAAAACACTGGATACTGTACTAGAATGTCATAGATCCGTTCATAGATCCATTACAGTACATAGATTTATTACATACAGGATCTATTACATTCTATTACAGTTCATTATTGTCAAAATACATATGATTGATAGATACAATGCTTGACATAGATCTACCTTTCACCTGGACGCTGCTCGAAATCATATGGCTTTCACGAATTCCGATGGATCCGATGGTGGCCCTGAGACAGCTGCTCTGCAATCGTCCCTTTGGTCTTCTCCATCTCCTTGGGCGATGGCTAGAAGCAAAATTCTGGTGATTTGGATGTGCTGTATTTTATATAATGGAACCAGAATATATAACGATATAATACACATTCACCAAAATATATAATCATATATTAATGTATAATAAAAATTGAATGTGTATCATATACAACCATAATATAGGAACCTATCTATGAAGAAAGGAACCATAATATGGATTGTATCATATCCTATCATACAACTATAATGTGTATTATATAGGTTGTAGACTGATGTCACTCAGTTGTTCCATTAATCAAAAGCTGTTTCATCTGTTTCTTATCGTTTTAGACTATGTGATGACTTCACAGTCAGCTTTTGATCAATGGAACAGCAGAGGCTAAACGATAATTAAAACTGTAGAGTGTGTATCATCTAGATACTTTCGGCTAGAGTCACTAGAGAGGCTCCAGTTGTAATTGCCATGGATCTTTGCACTTCCGAAATCACAAAAAAACTGGTGGATATGTATTGTTTTTTTCTGAAGAAGCTGGTGTTAGTGATTGCTGTCTGAATTCCAACGTTTCTTGCCCATTATATACGCTAATTACCCAGTATATTATAAACTATCATCTTGTATCAGGGAAGTTCTCCAGCTGTATACTTCCCACACCATTGCTTCCCACATCTCATCATATCCCCATAATAGTTGGTAAAAAAAATCCCCATTCTAACGACATTCTACCCACATTGAGTTTCCCCAGCTTCATCATCCTTTACAAATGACTTTCCCATGACATCACGTCATATCTTCCTAATTTAGTTTCCATGATGTTTCCCATGTGTTCCATAAATTCCCATCATGTCCCATATTTTCCCATGTACTTCCCATAGATTTTCCCATCTTTCCCGATTCTTTTTACTGCCCTTCCCGCCAGTGCCCCAAGCGTCGGCGCGGTGTCGGCTGAGCTCCAACTCGTTGTCGCAGCGCGTGGTGTTGATGGCGGAACTCATGTCCTCGGCAGAAATTCCATCTAACACCAATTATGAACTAATATAAAACTGGTTGGTGGTTTCAACCCCTCTGAAAAATATGAAAGTCAGTTGGGATGATGATATTCCGAATATATGGAAAGTCATTAAAAAAAAGTTCCAAACCACCAATCACCACTTTTAACTGCTAAAGGGCCTTAACTGTATAGATATACATGTGTATCTCCGGGAATCTATATTAAAATACATTAAATTACAATATTCCTCTTATTGACAATGATTCCAGTGAGATCGCAGTGAGGTCGTTGTAATTTGCCCAGATATGTGATATATGATATACATATGATATACATGTAAATATGAGCTCAAAAGGACTATACATATATATATATATATATATATTTATAAGTATCTATATATATAATTATATGGGAAATGTATGATACACCTTAAAATCATTGCATATACATATACACATATAATTATATATATATATATGTAAATGATCACCATGGAGATGACATGATATGAAATATGATACATAATAATGATAAATGTCATACAATATGCATGTGATATGATACTTTGATAGATGATACATGCAATATTATGAAACATGGAAATACACATAAATCACATGCCATATATTCTCATATGTAGATATAGCTGTACAGTAGTACATGAGGGTTTGAAGAAATACAATATGTGTGATATACATACATATGTACCCTATGGATCCAATGAGGGACGACTTGGTGTAAAAAAAAGGAGGATTGGTGGCCAGACAGCCCAGCGCCAAGTTGGTTGCAGCAGAAGCTTCATCATCACGATCCTCGCAGAGCTGCAGTTTCTTGAACGAACTGGGGGATCCGAAAAAGTCGAGTAGCGTTCATGCCTCATGCTAACCATCAATGGAACACTTTTATTTTTGAACACATGATATAAATGGTATCCCTGCTTATATCACCTTGGGGCATCTTGGGGTTGATTTATCAATCTTCATGGTGCGGATTGTCTGAGTGCTGTTGGTTAAACCCACCAGGTGTCGTAGATCTGGGAAAGAAGGGGTCCGAAGGAAGGGACCTGTCTCTGGGATCCCTCCTAGCCGCTAATGTATGGATGTGTATGGGTACTTCAAAGATCCTTGCTTTGCCCTCAGCACTTGGTGTTCTATTTAGCCTCTTTAGCCAGCTTTTCTGCTACTTGCAGACGGCAGGGTCAAAGTGTGAAATTCACCCTATCGCTCAATCTGAGCATCCACCCCTAATATCCATCCTGACTGAATTGCCGTGACCAAGCCTCCTTGATTAGGCTTCAGCAAATCTGCAGTATATGTAGTACAATGTGGGGCCCCCAAGTTATAAGTTGGCTTATACACCCCTTTAAGACGTATCATAAACCAGAGATGTTCGAGTTTTTTGCACCGACGTTTGGTGGCCCCCACTTTGTAGGATATGATGGTTCTATGTTTTTTTTGGCGACACATGCCCATCCAAGCTCACCAAGCTTCATCTGGGGAGAAGAAGTTGCAAATCTGCAGCAGCGCCTCCAGTAAGTTCTGATACATCATTACAACACAGTAAGCCAAGAAAATGCATGGACCACTCAAACACTACCATTACCAAAACGGGCCAACTGTCTCCAACTGGCACCCATCAAGTTCACCATTCACTACTTGGTCTATGTAAAAGTCTAGTTTGTTCATTCGTGATATCTAGTTTTTCCGTTTGATATTCCAATAAAAGGTTTAGGAATATGTATTTCAATCATTTTCAATCTGTTTTTTCATATTTTCCCAAATGTTGCTTAATATCCCCATTGTGGCCGATTTCATTGGGTTAACTTTGTGTAACATCCAAGGCCCCATCCCGAAAAATGAAGGGTCGACCAACAAAAATCCACCATGTTTCCCAGAAACATTCTTCTAGATGTGACATTACTCACACGTTCTTCGATAAAACCCAGGGGACTGGGCCATGCTTCCCAGTGGCCCACCTCGCGATCCTTCACTTCACGCGAGTTTTGGTTCAAGTACAAGGCTCGTTCGCCTCCTGGTGCCAGAGGTCCAGCGTGTTGGGATACAGCGACCGACTTATCCAAGAAGGTGGGAAAACGAGATGAAAACACCTACATTCCGAAAATGGATGGGCAAACAGATGTCTCCGCTGTTTTGCGTTGTCAAATTTTGGGTATACTATATTACACTATATACTATATTACATACACTATATACTATATTACACTATATACTATATTACACTATATTATGCTATACTATAATGTAATATAGTATGATATAATATAATATAGTTTAATATAATACAATACAATATAAATACCATATAATAAAATATATAATAAAAACAAATATAAAATAAAATAATATAATATAATATAATGTGATATGATATGATATGATATTATATAATATAATATGATATGATATGAAATGAAATGAAATAATATAATATAATATAATATAATATGATATGATATGATATGATATGAAATAATATAATATAATATAATATTAAATGATATGATATAATATAATATAATATAATATAGTAACATTCTATTATATAGTTATATATGATTGCCTAATTTCTGGTCAACACATGTCAAAGCAATAGACTAACTCAAAGTCAGGGGGCAAAGGGTACTCTCCAGTATACTCCAATCAAAAATCGCAACGGATAAACAAACAAGTGTTGTCTTGAGGACCATATCATGTTGCCAGGTTCCACCCTGGTTCTTTGCGAACAGTTGTTTTCTGGGTACTGTGGTAAGCCCAATAATAAACCATCCCGAATAACACTATAAGTCGGTGAAGCATCATCCATTGTAGGTTTAAATTATTGGGTTTAGCGCATTGGCCAGTCCCAACCTTCCGAATCGCTACAGGATCACTGGGCAATATTTCCCATAGGATCCATGTATGCCATATATGGTAACATTTACCATCAATATACCCCAAATGTTAGCATACATACCATACATGGATCCTATGGGTTTGCAGTTCGCTTCCATCAATTTTTTAGCACCTCTGGTTTCACAAATCAAACCGCCGCTGACCCAATCCATACAGGCCTTGCGGCTTTTTGGCAGGCCGGAAACGTGGATCTCATCACCCGCCGCGCCAAAAGAAAGATACAGTTATTACAGTGTATGATTATATCGTAATATATTATAATGATATTACTATTACAGTATATTACAGTATATTATAGTAAAATAATAATAATAATATATAATAATAATGAATGACTTACGACGACAGTTTTGAGTTCACCAACTAGAAATCATCGCACCAAGCATCAAACATTGTCAAACCAACAATGTTACGCAAAGGAACAGTCAGAATTCAGCTGCTTCACCCTATGTTTTGCGAACAATCACCGCCATCGGATAGTGTTGGTTTGTAAAACACGACTCCTGGGTACAAACACTGACTTTATCCAACCCATGACTGGGCATAGATACCAGTATCCTACCAAAAGAACACATTTTTTTGCCGCAGGTACCCTTATACCCATAGCCATAGGATCCATGTATGCCATATATGGTAACATTTACCATCAGTATACCCCAAATGTTAGCATATATACCATACATGGATCCTATGGGATAGCCAAAAGCATCACGAACACAACCGCAAGACTTTTCCCCAGATCGGCGAAAAATGCCCAGAGCGCCTGTGTGTCGCACCGCAATCAGATGATACTCAATGGGAATCGTTGACCTGTCAGGCCGATGAGGGCTGAAATGGCAGTTATGGATGGTATTGGTAAAGGGCTTTGACTGAACCCCCTCTATTTTATATATATATGTATTATATGTATATATATATATTAATTATATTCAAAGACTTCAGTCAATTCAAGTAGAAATGATGCTCAGGGGCTTCTTGACATTAAGCAATAGAATATGCTGATATCATGGGCTGATGGATTTTGAAGACGGATCACTTTCAGTGAAAAAAACATTTAGAAAAGATATCATGTGCTGATGGATTTTGGGGAGCATCAATCACTTCCAGTGAAAAACACACATCATTTAAAACACATTTATAACATTCTAAAACGACCCCAAAACCAGATATAACATCAGATAACTAAAGTCAGACAAGGTCAAATAATTAAAGTCAGATAACTAAAGTCATTGACCCACCATCTTTTTACTTCATCTTTATCTTTTTTTCCTTGTCACTCTCCGGGTTGTCACGCTCGTCGGCATCCAAGTGACACATCCAGGTCGTTGGAGCGAACGTACTCATCCAGATAATGCCTTGGTGGAGCGAGATGCGAAAGGGGACGAGTTACCCGTGGAAAGACCCCGAGGGCCAAATTAATATATAGATATACCCTCTGGTAAACTAACATAGCTATGGACAATCACCATGTTTAATAGGCAAATCAACTATACATGGTCCATTTTCAATAGCTATGTTAAATTACCAGAGGGTAATATGGATGTGTGGGATAAAGCATGATAAAGCTAGAAGTTTTGAAGAAAGAACAAGAACATATATACTTGTACCTGGTTTTCTATGGTTTTTGAAGGAACAATTAAATCTACATGTCTAATAAGTTTTTTGCAGGGTAGAAACTTGGAACAAGTTCCCAGACTGGTAATGCAGAACTGAACCCGAAATTTATGGGACAAATAGACATATTTGTCCCTGCCATTTTGCTTTTAGACGCTAGATACATAATTCCCGTCTTTGTTGATGTTTGTTGTTTGAATCACAGTTGGTCTTGTGTTTGCAAAATTTTGTCGTTGTCAACTACCAATTTTGGGTTTCCACAGAATGTCCATTCATGTGTTGATCTTCAAATATTGTGCGTCAAATCAAAGCCCTGGCACACGACACATGTTTGCTTGGAAAACCCAAATTCCAGCGGTTTGTTGCTGAAACAACTTTTCAACCCATCCTTTTGGATGAACGTTACTGTCATTGTCCCCGTGGTTATCATGTTGATTTCAATCCATACTCAGACTCTAGTTTTGGAAGAAATCATGGCAAACCTTACTGGTTGGTGGTATACCTACCCCTCTGAAAAATATGAGTTCGTCAGTTGGGATGATGACATTCCCAATATGTGGAAAGTCATAAAAGCCATGTTCCGAACCACCAACCAGCTTAGATAGCCATAGACCCATAGATACCCTACATTTCTTGAGTTTCCCAGTCGTTTTCTCCTTGGGATCCCTAGGAATCACGCCCAGTTGCTGCGCTTCTAAGTCGCTGTCGCGCGGAACGAACACGCGATGAAACCGGGCCTAGTCCGATCAAAAACTGCGAGTTCTTCCAGAAAAAGAGGCTCCGACCAGAATCAAACAAGGTGAATTCATCTGAAACAATCAACGTGAACAGCAACTGTTATATGCTGTCATATGCTGCATGTTTAGATCATATAGATCCACGACTTAGCCAAAAGCAGGCCTACCTGAAGTATATATAGTCTCTTCCCCCGGTTTGGCCCAACACCCCCCAGAAATCATGGTAAAAAGGGTAGGCTACGCACAGGGATGTGATGAAAAGACGTTGGAAGTCACCATGGATCACCAGACCCCAGGGATGTTCAGCTCAGGGGCTAAAAAGGACACCTCTGGGGCTGAGCTGATGGTGGGCGTTGCCTCAGGTGCTTTCAACCCGTTGAACAACATGGGCGTGTCACATAGCTGTGTCCATGAGCACCGGCCTACCCCTCAATTTATGGATGGTTTAAGATACGAAATCGCTGAGAATCGAATGGAAGCTAGCCTATCTTTAGACACACCCATATGGCATCATTAGGGAGATGATGAATGGTCCATCGCCCAAATGGTGGGAGTCACCCCGCAATGGGTCAGGAAACGTGGCATTCCGTCAGTAGTCAGTTGGGATCATCATCCCAAATAGGGGGAACATGGAACATGTTTGACACCAACAAGACTTGGGATAATGATAGGACATGATAGGACATGGACTTGTCACTTGGGATGGTTACGAATCAAAAATAAACATGGTAAGTAGATACTCAACATAATTCAAAAAACTGCATGATAATATGATATAAACAATACATGGACCAACAATCAATGAGAAAATCAGTGATAGACAAATATTGGCATGACAACAAAGTGCACAATTTCGAGACTGAGCTTCATCAAATTTACCAGACAACAAAACCTTAGCATGAAATTCTGGAGGATTTAATCATGATTCAGTCCATTGAGATCTTGAGCAATAAACTTGGTGATGTAACCCGGAAAAAAAGTAGGAAAACATAGGAAAAAGTCAACAGCAAAATTTCTAAAATCTGACACAGAAAAAGGGAGATGCTATAGATATATCTGTAACATCATATCTGCCGTGGTCAAATATGGTTTATGGTACTCCATCACGTAGTGGGAATCCGTATGGGGAACAAGCCATGTTTTGAGCACAACATCATACGGTTCTCAGGATATCTCAGCCTAAGCCACTACCCTCTGGTAAACGTTTACGTAACTATGGAAAATCACCATTTTGTAGCTGGGTAAATCACCACTATTTCGGCTGGGCCATTTTCAATAGCTATTTTGACATAACCACAGGGCACTTGTAGTGGACTAGGGATGACTAGGGGAGACCCTGGTTTTCTGCCAAGGATCGGTCAACCCCCAACGACTTTCAGCTTCCAAACTTTCGAAGTTGTGGAACCTCGGAACTAGGTTACGGTGCTTTGAGCCACCTATGTATCGATTGGGATCATGATCTTCTTGGAGAAAAAATGAAACATGATTTAACATGATTTAACTTTGTTGTGATTTTCTATATCCTGTCGATTCCATATTTCTAAAAATTAATTTGATTCAAACACAGAAGCGCCGTTTTTTTTTTCCGCTGGTGGTGGAACTCCAGATCCGAAAAAAAGACGGATCTGGATGCTGCAGCATGATTCATCATGTGGGCTTAACCCGGCTAATCCAAAATATTGAGTCGACACACAGACATGAAGTGACCGTCTAACAAACGTTGCTATTAAAGGGGGTCTGGAACTAGGCCCCCTTTTTTGTGGAAGTTTCTGAACAATGCCAATTGTTTCTTGATGGGAAAAATGACGGGTTTACAATGGACTAATAGTCTCAAGCAATGAACGACCGTCTGCAATTTCACAGTTCGCTACAAAGTTTTGCCCTTAGATGTAAATCAATTTATATGTTGTGCACGTAATCTTATAATATAATTTGAATACTGTATATTTATAAATTGTGGTAACTTGTATAAGTCATGTTAAAGTTATATCTATATACATAAATATATATATATATATATAAGGGAAACATATGAAAAAATGCGATACAGTTAGCAAAGATAGCTGTTTTTTGTCGTCCAAACCAATGTTTTTTAAGGTAGGACTTTTTCCTGCTCAAGTAAAGCACTAAATCCCTGGAAGCATGGCTGCAGCTGCAGGACTTAATCCTGGCGTTTCCTGTTGTGAGAAGAGGAGAGATGGTTGGTGTGGAAAGGCACATGTGTTTCTTGTTGTTTAGAGCAGAAAACAAGGAAACACGCAGACGTGTTTCTAAATTTTATACTTCCAGAACAAGTAAATACGTATGTGTTTCCACGCAGAGACCAAAAAAATAATTGTAAACGCGTATGTAGTTTAAATGTGTTTCCACATCTAAATCTATACACATGGTGCTCAAAAATCTCGACATTCGGGATGTGTTTTCACCAAAACATGGGAAAGCGCGTGGCGCATGTGTATCCTCATGAAAATACCAAAATGGCAAGGGAACGCGATTGTGTTTCCAGCTCTCATCACCATCGTGCTTGGAAACGTGCATGTCTTAAAAATGTGCTTTTTGGTGCTTCCTTAAGACTGAATTCCGTAGCTTTTCTCGCTGAAGCGCACCCGAATCTCTGTTTTTGCCAGAAACTCTTCACATTTCGAGATCAAAAGCTCAGGAAACGATATGCAGCGGAAAAAAACGGAACTTGCCAGAATCACATGACAAATTGCGAGAAAAAAAGTACTAAATTTAACGCAAAAACAAATACAAAAGATATAGCTTAACATTACAAAACCTATTGCATGATTAACATAACTTCAACTTAACGTCCTTAAGTCCTTTTATAAAACCCGAAAGTCCATCTTAACTCAGTGCACATCTTTGCATGTAACATTAACATCTTTCGTATTCAGGTAAACAATCTATAAACATCTATTAAATCTGGAAGATGTTACCTACAAATCACGATACATGTTTTTGAAGGGACCATTCTCCATAGCGCATGTTTTTCAAACTACCCGAGACCGAGCCACAAGATCCGCTCCGCAGCCTTCAAAGAAGTGTCTGGACGCAAACCTCAACGTTTGAAGGACACCAATATGAGGCATTTCTCGACGGTAGTACGGTAGTGAGAATTTCTTGTCATGACTTGTCTATATAAATGTTTGGATTCTAACAGATTATCATTTATAATGGACTATCATTACGACTGTTTAAATAAATAAATAAATTTACACATAATCATCAAAAATAAAAACAACAAATCTTGGGATTTTGCATGGGATTTTGTATCTTCTGATATCATGATGATATCCTGCCCCATGGATTTCTCCATTTCAAGGATTTTTCCTCTCCCAGAGGCCAACCCCGAATGGTTGACCCTGGATGAACAAAACTGCCCCAATTGATTTTCACCCTGCATTCATCTCGTTTTATGCCGTGTATTTTGATAGATTCTTTCTATATCTCTGTATTTTTGTTTAGGATTCTGTCTATATCTTAATGTATCTGTGTAATCATTGGAATTGCAATTCATTGATTTTTTGGATTTTCGTATTGACAAACAAGGAGTTTTTCAAACCCGGGTTGACATCAACTGGTAAACTTTGTTGTGATGGCCTTTGATACATGATACAATGTGAGGCCGCCCAGTTATGAGTTGGTTTAGAAGCCCCGCTAACTATAGTTATAAATATCAAAAACCATAGTTATTGGAGTCATAAACCATATCGTTATATGGCCTTATAAGGTTTTAGAGATGGCATGTGCAAATCATCGACGTCTTCAGCTCGGACACACCGGAAAGCCGCAAGATGCAGATGCCGCAAGTATTTCATGGCTGTGACCAATAGGCCCACCCAGAAGAAACAGCTTATATATTTATATTTTTATAATTATTTATCTGAGCATTAGACATGGAAAATCCATGAAAATCCACCATTTAATTCGATGCTTGTCCACTTGCCATGAATTTTGAAGGGATACAGGCTGATACAGGATTCAGCCGATGCCGGCAGGGAAAGACTTCATGGGGATGACTGTGACAGAAAATGACTGGGAAATTCTTGAATTACCATGGGAATTCCCATGGGAATTCCCATAGATCGCTGGATTTATGGTGGGAATTTCCATAGATCATTGGGTTTATGGAGAATTACATATACCATTACCATGTACATCGGTAGATTCACGTGTTTGTTGAAAGTGAACGACCGGTGTTTGACCGTTGGACCCAAAAAGGCCACCTCACCAAAAAAGGGTCCGTGTGAAAATAGGGCACCACAATCTTGATGGTTTCCATCCATGATCCTCATGAACAAATCTGGTTGGTGGTTTCAACCCCTCTGAAACATATGAGTTCGTCAGTTGGGATGATTATTCCCAATATATGGAAACATAAAAGATGTTCCAAACCACCAACCAGTGATGATATTTGAGGAGTCAATTCGGATCAATCTCCACCTTTCAGACATGCCTAATATATATTAAATGAATTAAATGATGGGTTGATAAGGGGGAATTCATCCCAAAACACTCGCCTTACATCCGCTTTGGAAATGGCCATGAGACCCGCAAAATTGGGATCGTGACCATGGCACTGGGGTTTACTGACTGGTAAACTAACAGATTTGCGATTGAAGCCATGGCCCAGTCGAAATAGTTGATGTACCCATTCAAAATGGTGATTGTCCATAGTTTGTTTTTATGTTTACCGGAGGGTACCACATGATTCTGGACTCTGCCCTTGTCTCGTAACCAACGTCTCAAAACTGCCCGACGGCCCAAGGTACGTGCTGCATCGCGCAGGGCCTCAATCGCGCGGCGCAACCCCGACCCTGTGAAATTCTTCCAGTTGGTTGAATGCTTTAAAGGCCTTTGGGGTTATGGTTGGTTTATGGTTGGTTTATGGTTGGTTTATGGTAAAACCATGTAAAACCCCAGAGTTTCTCGAATTTCTTCCATGGTTCTCACGAGTTGTCACTTCAATTCATGGAGTCACCAAAGGCATTGCGACCCTGAAGTTAGACTCAGTAAAGTCATTGCGATGGAGAATCATCGTAGACTCTTCGGAACTCATTGTATTTTTCTTGGTGGATTTGCCGCCGGTTGGATTTCCAGGAAATATCAATTTTTATGGACCGCGCAACTGACCACAATTTACCCCATGCCATGCTATATTTCAAGCCACTTTTATATGATTTTATATGATAGGTAGCCTTGTTCTTGTCTTGTCTTGTGGTAGATGGGTGTGAATAGCGAACGAGTTGGTAACTCGGCCAACAACGGCTGACCTCATGAGCCATCTAATATCATCTCAGTATGGATCTTCAAGTTGTCATGTCTCACCAGCTCATACTGTTCGACATGTCCATCATGCTCAGCAGAGTATCCAGTATACATGA